ACTTCTCCTGGGAAGACTGAATAGCGCAGAGATAGCTCAAGTCAACTCCAGACAGACCACCATTCCCTGCCCTCAGTCTCCTGTGCACAGTGTGACCAGCAGGTCAGGCACTTTACCTACCTGGACATTCTCTTCCCATGGATTGTTTTGGGAGGATACAGCCCAAAGATCCTTTTTGAGAACTGAATTACGTCATGCATTCCACACCTAATACACATGTTAGGAGACACCTGAGCTCTTACCTGGAAGAACAGCCTAGCTTTAGATTTAGTTCTTTCTGGAACTATGGGCTTCATTCTGGGAACTTCCCAGATCCAAGTCCATTAAGTCACTTTTGGGTCACTGAACTGCTGTGTTCCGTGAGCCCAGCCTCTCCTTCAGATGCCCTCTGCTCCCAGCTTTAGGGCAGGGAGTCTTCCCAAGCCACTTTAGCTAATGCTTCAGGGGTTTTGATCAGATCCCACCCCATCTATCAATACGCAGAGAACCTGACCTGTTTATACACTGCCAGGCCCTCTACTATCACACCAGCTTACATTCTCATTAAGTGTCACTTTTCCAGATCTCTGTTTACCTCAAATACCCTGAAATCCTCTCTATAACCATTTCAATTATAAATTCACCTAAAATGACCTAAAGGAAGACCTGGGGAGGGACATCATGGGATGCTGAGATTCTAGGAGGATTCAATGGAAGGGCATAAAATCTTAAATAGTACAAATAATCCCAACTAATTTAAGTCCAGGCCAGATGACAAGACAAGTGAGCATGAATTAAAATTACAGATAAGCACATCTGGAACAGATGTTGGAAAGAACATTTTTCTCCAGCACTGGAAGTCATAAACATGCAGCAAAATCCTCCAAAGTCATCAGCGACCTTGAAAACGCAATTAGAGCTGGTGGTGGAGGGAACAAAACCATGAGAAGTGTGTTGGGAAATTTTGGAATGAGCCACAAGATTGGTGTGTTTTCCTGGAGCATGGATGCATGATCCATGTCATCAGCTTTGATTTTGTTGTTTTCCTTTCCAATCTTCAACTGGGAGGACCAGAAACTCATGAGCAATCTTTTTATCTGCTGGGACTAGTTCAGGCCTTTCCTGCTTCTTTCCAGGAAGCAGCAGAGATGTCACTCCAGTGCCCTCTCCTCTTACCCACCTAATGTTCTCACATTACTAGTGAGCAGACTCCAGCTATGGCTATTTCCTCAAGGTAATGAGGGGGGTAAACAAATTTCACGCTGCCAGCACAAAGTGTGCTGAGACATCTGGGGAAGCTGTGGCCATGCTGAGGGCTACTGTACATCCTACTGCCAGTGACTGAGAACTGAGCCCCAGCAATGGCTAAGTGGTCTCTTCCACCAGTGTCCACTGACTTTCCTCCCCTTGCATGTGCCGGCCCACACGGCTCTGCAGTTCTCTCCCTGGGCATCCTAGATACACCAACAGCCCTGTAGATGTAAGTGTCTGCTCTGATAGTTGCCTTCATCTATGTCAAAAAGAAGAGGAATTTTTCACAGCGTTTGCTAACTTTGGAGAGTCAAAGTCTCTTAGGCTCTGGTCATGATACCAGTTCTGATAACACAAAGCCCCCAGATTTAACTCCCACTAAGAAAATGGTTAAGGTAAAACCACAGTCTGCACTGTTCATCTGGATTAGTCAGTGTGAAGAGGGCAGTAACTACATAAATATATACAGGTTACTCATTTAAAATTGCCTACATAATAAAACTAACAAGTTATAACCTGAGGAAACTAGTTACAGCTTTTCAAATGGGATTTGAAAAATATTTCATATACAAAATATACAGACTCAATTAAAATCCCATCTAAGTCACTGACATGACAAGGACATGAAGGATAGAGTGTAGTTCAGTGACCTAGCACTTGCCAAGTGTGCGTGAAGCCCCAGGACCATAAACACAGCGACAAAGATGCTCTCTCTGTCAGAAGGTATCTCCATCACTTACTTGTCTCCTGCACTTAAAGAACCAATTTATAAATATAATCATTAAATGGAAGTTGATTTTTCAGCCTTTTGCCATCAGCCACTTGGAGACAGAGAAATAACCCACCAAGGTGAGGCGGCTCATCCAAGTCCTAGTGAGAATAAACTCTGAAAAACTATGAACATACACATGTTATTCATTTAAAAATTACCTGCATAAAAAAGTTAACAAGCTACACTCCTCAAAAAAGTTTTTGACTTAGACTTCTGAGGAATAATATTCTCAAAGGATAATTTCTTTCAAACTGATTAATAGATGCAGGGCAGGTTAATATGCTAACTGTAATTGTAATATGCTAATATGTAATTGTTTTCAGTGTTGGAAAGGGCCAGGGACATTTTGGTTTCTGGAATCATTGAAGCCAGGGTGACAAAAGTCACAGGACTGCATCACACCACATCCCAGCATTCACCCCGAAATATGCACTTGATCTCATCCAACTCCTGCCTCTCTTTTTACTTGCTGCCTGCCAAACCACGGACAGTGCCAGTGGCTCCATGTGCAGGGTAAAAATTGCTTTACACAGAAATCAGGTGTTTCTCATCTATCCATTACGTACTGTTTTAGATAGGGGGAAAGGAGGAGGGGCAAGAAAATCTGAATGATTTATCTTGGAAAAAGTTCCTGGGCTTTGCAAATCTTGGCAGTATAGTAACTATTCGATCCCTCATTCTCTGTAAGAACCACTCAAAAGACATGAATGTGAATCAAAAGGGAAGAAGCCAATGAGAATCAGAGGGATAAAAGATTTCTCACAGAAACCACTATGTTACAGAGTCTACTATGTTACCTTCAGAAAAACTCTTGGAAGATAGATTGGAATGGAAGGAAATGGACTGAAATTCATCACAGGCATAGTTGCAGATAATAGTATTTTGAGCACATCTGATTGAAGTCTTGTTGTTACCAAAATGGTAGGGTTTACATAAAAGAGATGCTGACTCCCCACATGAACATGCCTCTCATTTTCTGACTGCCCGATACACAGAAGTGCACAGGGAGCCTGGGTACCCTCTCTGCTATGGGACAACAGGGATGAAGGAAATAACTGAGGTAAAAGTGCTAATGAGGACCTTACTGAAAAATAATTCTTCCTTCAATCCAGTGAATTCTGAGATGCGAGGGAAACACAAGAAAACTCATACACCTGAAAGTTTTAATTCACCCAACCTCCCACAAGAAAATCCTCTCTGCCATATTTTTCCAAAAAGGTACATTTCAGTTCCTGTCAAAATGTGGAGTTGTCAGAGAGGACTGCAGAAACTCACTTATCCTCATGAATCACCAGAGAAAACCAACAGTTTCAAAAAAAAAAAGGATTTCCTGGTTGGTTGGGATGGAAGAAAACACACATGAAGGAGAAGAGAAAATATCCTGAGTTTCGCAAATGGCCGAGACCAAGGCTGGGGAGCATCAGTCAGTCCTTGCTCTCACTTTTCTGTAGCTAAGTCAAATTTCCTAAAAGCCCCTAGAGTTCTGGGAATGGGAGTCTGCCTTCCAGTGAGGTCTGACATCTCTCAGCATCTTTATTCATAAAGAAAGGCACAACAACTTCTAGCACAAGCAGGGATACTAGAGCAATGACTTCGTCTTGAATTTCTGTGACCTAATCAATGATCCTGCTCTAATGAAACCATAAGTCAGAAGGGATTGGCAAAAGCTGAGTCTCACTTGGCACCTCAACAAAGAGCAAGTGACAGATTTTGCATTAAATGATAAGACCCACCTGATACCCTTATTGGTTACCAATAATTGCATCCCTCTGATAATTCCATTCGATGTTTAAGTATTGCCAAAGTGTCCCAGCTGCAAATACTCTTGTAGTCATAAGAGATAAATCAGGGCAGACTCTGGTTAGCATATCCCTGATTCTTAGGGTACCGTAATTTCCTAAGAACTTTACTAAAGCATAGCTCTCTCATGACCACCCACAGACAGAAATCACAGTCTGAAATAAAAACACATCATGATAAAAAACAGAAAAAGGGTGCTAGGGGAGTGGTCAGCAAGTTAGGAGCTGCCACTTGTTCTGGTAAATAAAATTTTACTGACACACAGCCACAGCTATATATACCTATGATCTATGCTGTAGCAGAATTTAAAGTTGTAATAGAAATCTGCTGGTCTACAAAACCTAAAATGACCACTTTTACCAACTCTTGTGCTACAGAAAAGATAGAAAAATGGGAAAGACGAGGTAACTTGAGACAAACCACAAGGCTGCTCCGGCCTTCTTAACTTTAGAAGGGTGGAAATTCTGGCAACACAGATCTAACTAGAGATTTGAGAAAGTGAAGTAGTGGGAATAGACACTGTTTTTAAAATAACAGCTATCAGTTTAAGTGGACTCAATTTTAGGACTCTAAATAAATTCTAGGTTCTCCTTACCCATCTAATGTGCCCAGGTAAGAATTTCAGAGAGAGGAAAAAACGTGAGCAGAAGAAATAAGAATGTATTTGGGGGAGAAGATAATTCCAGGAAGAGGGAGAAAACAATTTATACCCAAGAATTAATTAGCAATCAGTGTTCTCATTTCAGTCTGTTTTCATTCAAAGAAGTAAAACAAAGTGCACAGAAATCAATTTCATGAATAAGGATTCACTGTGAGTTATATTTTCTATGAGATACGGGAATTGGTCCATGAACCATGCTGAAATGATAACTCCTCAACCTACTCATGAGGAAAATGTAATCATGAGGGGATGATTATTATTATAGGAACTATCATTAGCATTATTTTAATAGCAATTATTTATTGGACACATCACATGTAGCAGATATTATTCTCATTTTGTAAATGTAGACACTATAACTGAGAAAAATAAACAAGAAATAGAAATCTCTAAGCATCAGAGCAGAGCCTGGGGTGTGTGCTTTTTTCTCATCACACTATTCATTAAACACACACACACACACACACACACACACACACACACACACACAAGGTCCTATCCCAAGCAAGCCCTCCACACCCCACCAAGCCCACTTACCTCGACAGACTCTGCAGCACTGATTCTCTGGAAGAATGTGGTCGTTCTCTGAGCAGTTCAAAGGAGGACACTTTTCCGTAATTTTCACTAAAACTCCACCCTGGACATCAGATATCAGGAAAACAAAAAAGATGTTCACGTGGTTAGTCAGTGGTACCAACTAATAATCCTCACTGTTAATAGTGTGCAGTGATAACAACCTACAATAAGTATCAGCACTCTGAGCTATTCCACTAATAATAACATTGCAAATGAAATGGTGAGACTGCTGGAAAGAAGGCAAATTCCCTTTTCTATGTCCTCTGAGACCAATCCCAGGTGTCTTAGTATCTTCTGTAATGAGGAAGGATGCTGACAGTGTTAGCTGATAAATTTTAACAACTGACCTGAAAGGGGAGGCTTTCTTTGTGAAGTGTACTGATTTCTGCCGTCGATATCCTAACCATGGTGGATTCTGAGCTACTGGCATGATGACATCAGTGAAAGCAGAGTCAGAGAGCTCGGTGCCATTTTTATGTGCACCAAATCCAGCACACTTCTGGGGACCAGGCATTGCAAACTCAAAGAGGAACAAAACGTCTTCCTGTTTTATTTTTTCTTATTTTTGGTGTTTTTGAGACAGGGTCTGGCTATGTAGTTCAGGCTGCACTTGAACTCACTATGCAGCCCAGGCTGGCCTGGAACCTGTGACAATCCTGCTGCCTCAGCCTCCCAAGTGCCAGGATGACAGGCATGTGCCACCACACTCAGACACCTCCTCCTTGTTCTTAACAAGCTCACAGTCTGGGTGGAAGGAGACAAAAACTTCTTAAACTATAAACCATAATGTAATCTAGCAAGTCCGAAAATGATGTGCTCCGATAAAAGCATTAGATGATGTGACTGGAGGGTAATTAATTCTACCCAGATGGGAAAAAACTGCGGAGATGCCACATGTATGGAAAACTGAATAAAGGAAAAAGGAACAAACAGACCTCACGGGCAGAGGACACAGACAGGAGCCACGGTGTCCAGGTATGAAGGAGATAAAAGAGGGTCAGGTAGATGAGCGCTAGGTTTTCCCCAGATATAAGTAAAATCGCTTACATGAAAGGTTAAATATTCGGCAGCTGAATCCTCACGACCTCACTTCATCTGAGGTCCTGTTTGTGGGCCTTACTAGAATCTGTACTCAGTTTTATATAAAAAGTAATGAGCCCATTATTTGCACTCCTTAAGAAGGCTGAAGAGACCCCTACTGGACCTAACACATTTAGTTTTTCTCTCCCATTCTCAGGTTGTAAGACAGCCAAGAAATGGATTCAGAAAATGAGTCTCCTTGAAAGTCAAAGGCAGCTACTGACTCAGTGGGAGAACAAGACGGAGTGGACAGCATGGAAGGGCGGTTGCGACAGAGCCTTCACTTTGCAAGACACTCGGTCACCCCAGCCCCAGAACCACCCACGGATCTCCAGCTGGACAAGAACTCCCATTACATCAGCACACAGGTTCTCACACATGAACAATAAAACCTTCAGTGTGGAATATAAATTTCCAGTGACGCACTCTTTAGATACCTTGTTTGCAGTACAGCTCCCTCTCTGTTCTTATAATTTCCCACCCACATGGACCAGTACCCATCATTCTTTGATGTATCTTTTTTTTTCTTCTCCTTTGCTCCTCATTTCCAGAGCCTCTCACTTTTCTCCTGATTCTATACTAGGATTGGCTCTAAGTCCTGAAATTGATCTTGCTACTCCGTGGCCCCACTTCTCACTAGATTCCACCCTCACTTCTCTCTCCCGGTCACACGGGCAGCACCAAACCTCAACAGTTAGCACGAGGCTGGATTTTCATGTCCTGCTCTGCTGTGCCTCAGTTTCTCCCACAGAGATTCAAACTGATGATCACGTCAGTGAAAGCTAATAGCATACTATAAGGAGCATAAACTAAGTTGTAAGGAAAATGCTGAACGGCTTCTCATTATTTACTCTACTCCTATCGGCTCATATTAATACATTATTCTGACCCACTATGTCCTGGCATAAGTATGGGAGGTGGATACTGTTGAGTCCCTTTTATTAGTTCTATGTGCCCACACCCAAGGTCCAGACCTTTGGCTTACCAAGGGTTCACCTTGTCCTCCTCAGACAAGGGCCCTGTCCTCCCGTGGGCCCTGGAACCACTGTGTCCAAAGCCGGAAGTTACCTAGAAGTCCTGCAACCCCATTTTCTTGGCCCAGAGCCACTGACTGGATGGCATGGAATATGCATGACACAGAGGAAGGACACTCTCTGGACCGTAAGGGGTGTCCCAGACACAGAGGTGGAGTCAGACTATGTCTCTCCTTCCAGAAAGTCCATCTTTGCTAAGTTTCCCTTCCCACTCGGTCACCCACACAGTCTGCCTGGCTTTCCCTGGGAGAACTGCATTAATAAATCACTTGTGGGGAGCCTCAGTTCAAGTCTTTTTCCGTAAAGGACCAAACAAAAGTTGTCAAGATGAATTTTACTGCTACTATGGAAGATGGAACTGATAAACGAGATTATCTCTAAGTAGTAAGATTTTGGAGTACTTTCCATTCTCTTCCTTAGAGGCCTTTTCTCTAAGTTCCAAATTTTATAACGTAAGAATATACTTCTTTTATAAACCACAACAATACTAAAAGTACATTAGACTTTATTTTTTAAACAAAAACCACCCATGAAAGCTTTTCTTCCTATAAAATGAGCCTACTGTCAAAAATTCTAATCAGTTTTTAAACATACAGTGAGCAAAGTCCTAACTCCAAGTTCTTAAACAGATGAAACCGTGGCATGAATTTCAGAATAACAGGAACTGCGATTACTGCTCCATAAATGCCCTTAAATCCATCCAGTCCAGCTACAGAGCTGGCATGAACTTTTATAACCTTTATTTTATACACTGTTCCTGTAAGAAATTGTTCATAATTAATATTGTTATAGCCTCCTGATTATGGTACACTATTGCATGACCTTTGTATGGAGCTCTGTGTTAATGGAAAAACGTAATTCTTCTATATTTTTTCTTGGAGTGACTGTCTCCATATTATCTTCTCATCAAAATAAGCATTTTCAAGTCCTCAACTCATTGCTATGTTTCTAATAATATAAAACTAGTATGTCAAATCAAAAAAAAATTCAGAAAACGAATAACTGAACAAAGTAAGATTTCTAAGACAATTTATTCATCTTGAGTTTTTTATTCAAAAATAACATATTAACTCCTGGAAATGCCAGAAATTTTGAAATGAAAGGGCTTTTTGCTGTTTAATTGGTATGACTGAGGCTTTAAAATAATCCTCTTATAATAGGAATGCAAGGATCTCCAGGTAGGCTTCTGTCAACTTGGGATGTTTGTCAGCAACACAGAGCACATAAATTATCTCAGTAACCATTTCCTCTATTTGTTCATGAATGGTACTTTCAGAGCACCATTTTAGGCACAAAAGAAAGAAGTGATTCCATTACATAAAGCAGGTGCCATATGACATTAGGGCTTAGATCTCAAAAAGGCCGCCTGGGAGAGACCAGGAGACCTTTCACCCTACACTGGTCACCCTCTCTCCCTGTTGATCACACCCATTAAACATGCACCACAGCTCTTCCATGGCCACTGGTAGGTGCTGTTTTGATCAAGGGAGTCACTGGGTCCTACCCCAACCCATCTAAGACAGAGTGAGAAGCAGTCACTCAATTCTTCAGAATCCACCTCTCTAAGCTTCAGAGATGAGCCTGAAGTTGAGTCTGGAGATGAGTCTGAATAAGTCCGTCAGTCCCAGGAATGGCAGCAGAGAGGCTAAGAAAGGAGGTCAGAAAGCCAGACCACAAGGATTTTGACCCCAGTGAGCTCGCTCACCAATCACGCAACCCTGTTTCTCTGCACCTCAATTTTAGTCTGCACTGGACCCACCTCAGAGAACTACTACAAGGATTAAATGTGATAGCATGTTTCCCATGCTTTAAATGCTGCCTAAAAAATAGTAAATGCTTAGAAAGTTTAAACATTATTTGTCAATGGACTTTCTATCTGAGCACAAAGTAACTATTTCACAAATAATTGCAGAAAGACCCTAAATAAAAACTAATGACTTTGAAAAGAAGGAGAATGACCACTTGTACAAGGAGAACCACCCATAAACTGTACAAGCTCTAAAAGATGACCTGAGGGGTGCGGGGCACCTACAATTTGCCAGCACCATTCAGATAAGATGGCCTTTAAATCCATGCTCACGTCTTCTGCAGGTCTCATCTGTGTCTGCATGGATTCTCTCAGGATAACAGAGATCAAGTCACAGTGAGACCTCACCAAAGTCACCCACTGCTTCTGCTCAAAACTACAAAAGGGGTTGCTGGTTGTAAGTGACAGATCTATGTCTGGTGCCAGAGTGGACAAAATTGCGTTTAACCATCCAAGCTCTCCCTGATTCAGAAGACAGAAGCTAGAGATTTAGAATCTAAATCCCTTCCTCTCCCCTAGGAATGGGACGGTTTACAGAGACTGTGAGCTCTGCCCTACGGTCAAGGAGAACATGCGTGGGTGCAGGAAACAGTGAAGAACAGTTCACAGTGAGGAGCAGAATTCGGGCAGGCGATGAGCTCTTCACACACGTCTCATTTAATCCTCTCCACCCTCCTGTGTGCGATGTGCCCGGCCTGGGCTAGGAATCAGCCCACCTGTTCCCCCACTACAGCCAGGGAGCCTCCTTATTCATCCACAGGTCTTTGCACCCTCACCACCACATGATCACTGCTCCCACTGCAGACTAAGGGACCCCTGCAACCAGCACCTACTGACGCAGACAGATCGCCACACAGACATGGCCAGCAAACCCGTGTGACCCAAGCATTGTCTGGCATTCCCAACAGCAGCCAAGAGGGAGGACGGCAAAGGTGGACAGAGTCTGTCCAAGGAGAGACCGGATACAGGGCACAGCCCTGTCTCCCCGGGCTCCTCTGAAGAACTAAATTTTAGCTCCTCTTTTATTAGGGTGTCTTTAAAAGTTTCTGTCGGTCTCTGAATGCCTCATTGTCTTCAAGGTATAAAACAAATTTCGTCCTTTTCTCCAGGGATGTGACAAAAGGAAAATGAAATCAAAGC